AGCGTACAACCATAGAGTGTACTCCCAGAGCGGTATCGTACCTCCGTGCTTTGGAAGCCGCAATGGAGGAAGGATGCCACTCTGGGAGTACGCTCTATGGTAGCGTACAACCATAGAGTGTACTCCCAGAGCGGTATCGTACCTCCGTGCTTTGGAAGCCGCAATGGAGGAAGGATGCCACTCTGGGAGTACGCTCTATGGTAGCGTACAACCATAGAGTGTACTCCCAGAGCGGTATCGTACCTCCGTGCTTTGGAAGCCGCAATGGAGGAAGGATGCCACTCTGGGAGTACGCTCTATGGTTGTGGGCTGCAGAGCATACAACCACAGAGCGTATTCCCAGAGTGGCATCCTTCCTCCATTGCGGCTTCCAAAGCACGGAGGTACGATACCGCTCTGGGAGTACACTCTATGGTTGTACGCTACCATAGAGCGTACTTCCAGGGCGGCATCCATCCTTCGTGCTTTGGTAAAAGCATGTTCAAATAATTGTAGTCAAATGAGAATTGTGGTACACTGTTAGTAAGATATACAAAGATTTTTGACTTAAAGTGTATAATCTAATATGAATTATAAGTAATGACTGTGGAAGAAATGCATGAAAGTTATCTGTAACCAATTGACACGCTTTCTACAAGATGTAATGAAGAATGATTCTTTTTTTGTGTGTGTTTTTGTTCAATTAAAATAAAAAAATTAAAAAGGGGGGGAATGATTTATAAGCAATTATGGATAAGTCCTGACGTTCATCTCACCACGTACATCTAAGATCAGCTGCTCTGTGTGTATCACTGTAGTTTTCTGGCTGCTTATAGGAACTGTATGACAAGAATGATGAGCTACAAATGGAGGTGGAAAAACTGAGATCCCTGCTGCATGCACACAAGTCTAACCTAGCACACTGCAAAATGAAGACCAACAACACTGGAGAAAGGCCCTTCCCTGGAAATGAAAAAGCTAGCATTATAGGTGGGTAATGCAAGTCAGGCATGGTTCTTCAGAACAGCTTTCTGCATCCTCTTGAAATCTGGATTTATTGCATGCCTGTTGCCAGAACTGTCCGCATAGAGGATGTTTGAGCACATCTGGACTTTACCAGGATGGGAAAGACTCTTCATGCAAGAAGATATTCAGGGTCTTTCCGCATAGTGAAAGGGGCTTTAAATGTTTTATATTCTATGACAGTTTTCCCCACTTCAAGTTAAGCAAAGCAGCTGAGCGCAGACACTGCTGTTACTTAATTCTGGGCACCCGGCTGCTACAATTCAGTGCTAAAGCGAAAGATGCATTTATTTTACTATTTATTACATCTAATCTTGATTTGCTCTACAGCTAGAAGAGTTCTCTTTTAATACTAAAACAGTTTTTAACTACATTAAATCATTGAATATTTTCTTTTAAGACAACATTGAAAGGAAGATCACTTTCTTGGATATCAGACCTTACCAACCACAGGCCAAAATGTAAAGGGATGATTAAGCGTATACCGCATATTGTCTAAAACCTCCCAAACACCACAGCATCCTAGAATTTAAATAATCCTAATCTAATCCAATCCATTTCTTTATAAGTAAGATACCAGAATCAAAAGTATAATTTATAATTTTTTCTTGATTCTTCCAATCTGGGACACGATGGTATTTCCAAACAACTTTTTTTAGGGCTGCGGTTATTTTTCTCCTAAATGTTTTGTTTTGTAATATAACCTCCATGAGTTAACCCACTACTCTTGTAGCTAGGGTTTAATCAGTAATAGTTTTCTTGTCTCCATGCTTTTCTAATAATAAATTTACTTACAGATACCACTTTCATAACATCTGATCCCAATTCAGTAAGTATAGAAACAGAACTTCTGTTGGAAGACTTAAAAGAACAGAATCAAACTATAAAAACACAGCTAGAAACTAAGGTAAGTAGGAAGACTCAGTACTTAATATCCAAACTACAAGTACAGAACCTATAATCAGCAGAACTGAATTTTTCTGCATGTAATAACTCCACAGAGTAGTTTCAATAGAGGGACTGTTGAGTTGTCTACAGTCTCCTAAGTTTTGGTAGAATGGCAATCATCATTTCTCCAATGTAAGAAAATATTTTTATTTACACCCCCCTCACACACACACACGCTAATTATTCACTTTAGCATTTTGAAAACACTCTAATATATACAGTATTATAGAAGCCATGCTATAAAAGGACTTTCTGATTTTTTATAAAAATTACTTTTCTAGGTCAATTACTATGAACGGGAAATAGAACTAATAAAAAATAATTCTGAGAAAGAAAGGAAGGCTATTGAGCAAAGTTTCAAGATCAAGATTAGTGAATTGGAAGAACAAAAGAATGCCCTGGAAGAACTGAATGTGAAATGCCAGGAAGTGATTGATGGTTTGAAAAGTCAGGATCAGAAGCTAGATCCTATCCAAGAAATGAAGAGATTTGAGGAGGAGAGGGCAGAAATGGAGCAGTGCTATGCTAAAGAAATGTCCAACTTAGGTCAGAGGCTGGCCCAGGAAAGGAAAATATTGGAAGATGACTTGAAGATGAAACATGAAATGGAGATACATTTTATGAGGTTTGGAAGCCTTATATTCTTAGGATTATAAATATAAGTTCTTGGCAGTAACAATAGTAATTATTTATGCATAAGTAGGAAAAATTCTGCTATGTTAATAGATGAAGTTGAATCTTTAAAAGGAAAGTAAAAGGTAAAAACTGCTTCAACTCAAGGATAATTTCTGGTGTCTTTGAGGACCCATTGATGCAGTTTTCTTGGCAATAATAAAGAAGTACTTTGTTACTGGTTTCTTTTAGAATGTTTTTCAGTTTCCCAGTCTAGCCTATAGCCTTGACATTCCTTGACACCCTCCTTGGTTGCATAACCAGACATAACCCTGCTTGGCTTCAAAGTGTAGCCAAGATCAAACAGGTGCTACCATTTGCTGATACAGCGTAGGAAGAGAGCAATAAAAACCCATAGCTACATCTTTCTTTCTTTAGGCATAAGACAACTTTGTATACTAGGTATAGACACTCTTCTTTTCATTGCATATCAAAGTGATGGGGCTATTTTTGTGAAATGTGATCATCTGAACAAGGAAGTTGTTAGTTGGTATTTCTTTGAGTTATTCTTTATATGCAACCTTGAATATAATCAAAACTAACAAAAATTAGTTCACAGTAACTATCTTTTATTTGTTTATGTGCATTTGTGTGCTGCCTTTTTTAGGTGACTCCAGATGTTGCTTAAATGATTACCTTAACTCTATAAAGCACTTAGTTTTTTTAAGCCCGCCAATTGAAGTATCCCTTTCTCATTGGGAACTACCTTAGTATCTGCCAGAACTATTCAGTCAGGTTGGCTGAGAATTTTGGGAATTATCATGTTACCTGATCTGCACCCTATCAGCTAAGGGAGGTTCAAACAAGTCTGTATGGGAACTTTGGCCTTCCTCATTTCACATGACTAAATTTGTTGTTTTCAGTTTCTAGGACTTTGGAAACATGGATATATGTGTCAGGTCCTGATGCTTTTGACAAACCAAGTAGGAGTGAACTGAGGTGTCAATAATCATTAAGACAAAACTGAGATGGTTAAAGATTGCACAATTCCCTGAGATTGGATAGTTTCTACAAATAGTCTTGGAGAAGTGATATTCTTTTGAAGTCTAAAGGAGATACACAATTTATTGCTTTTTATATTATTGCTTAAAAGAATAGTGAATATTATTATTAGTAGCTCAGGGTTAGATCTTTGGTGTTTTAGAAGCATGGATGTTATCAGATGATATTAGTGCATGAGAAAGTGAGTTTGTTGGTAGTGAATTCCAGAATTTAATTACACATTGTGGTGGTGGTGGGGAAATCCTTTTGTCCAACAATCAGGAAGAAATAATACCCTACTTAAGGAACCACTAAGGGAAAAAAAACACAGCCCAAACAAGATTCGCAAAGCAAGTTACTTATGTAAAGAATAAGCAAACTTCACTTTCTCTTGCACTGGTGATATCACTTAGCCTGATAAAGAAACTTCTACAGAAAAAGTCCAGCTCAGAAAAATACCAAGATCCCAGTAATTTTTCTTTATTTGGATGAATTGAAATATATCTAGACTTGCCATGTTAGAGAAAGCTACTTTGGGGATACTTAGCAAGGACAAGAGATTTTGGTGGACATCAGCATTAGTAACGTAGTGCTGTGTCACCTTGCCATACAGATATTGATATTGTTTTAACAGAGTGCTTGTTAATGCTTGTGGGATTTTTTAGCATTTAACCTTTAGGACACAAAATCTGTACATAACATCGCATTATCATAATTGGTTTGGGAATGAACTATATTGCAAAAGATGTAGCTAAAAGTAGTGTTATCCAAAAATATCTTATTTAAAACAATTGCGATTTAGTAAAATTACTCTTACCCATAATTTCAAGCAAGAGATTATAACTTTCCTTCTGGTAGATTTTTAGCTACTTGAAAATTATTTTTTTCTATTTGCATGATCTATTTATTTTTAGTCCATTTTCCAACAAAAATGGTGCTTAACACCACCACAAGAATTTATTATACCTCCTGAACTAATTCGACTTGATTTTTTTCTTTTTGTTATGCAGATTGGAACTGCACAGGGTTTCAGAAGACAATATCCTCTTTAAAAATAAACTTGGAAAATGTCAGCGAGAAATAGAGGGGATGGGTGACACAAACCAAAAGCACAGGTAATTATTTTTCTTTTCATTTGTATATTAAAGTTTGCACATGAAATGCCTTAACTTAAGAGGAGAAACATGCAAAGGGAAGAGAGAAATTAAAATTTGATAAATGCTATGGTCGCAAAGAGCTTAGTTACACAGCTTAGCTACTGAACCATAACACAAAGAAATGTCATTTGGCTATGCTAGCCCTTCCTAATCTGGTGCAGTTCTTAGGTTTTAGATTTGAACTCCAGGAAACAAGCTCAGAAAATACTTTATTTCTTACTGTGATAATGCTGTGAAATATACTTTATGTACAATATTCTTTTGCAAATAGGGGATGCTCAATTAATACTGGAAAAATAGAAATCTGAATTGTGTAGCAATTGTTAGCCTAGGTTTTATGAAAGCATGAGCTTTCAACAGACAACTTGAAAATTGACTCAAGAGATGGGTGGTTAGAGCAGATGTGCTTATCTTTAATCTCCTTTTCCATGAATATTCATCTTATAGAAGCGTCCATTCTTAGATAGAAATCTTAACCAAAAAGGTACTGGAGGATACTGCCAGCACGCTCAAAATTAAGCATGGATCAGTTATACCTGTCTTGAGCCAGTTCACTGTTATAAACAAGAATTATAGTGCTACAGTAGATCCGTGAAAGACCACTATACTTTCTAGAGTGATTCCAAATCTCATTATATTGATGCACAAAGTATGCTTCAGTTAATTTTTTTTTCAGAAAGCACATTGATGAATTGAAAATGGAAAAAGAGAAGATGATATATGAAATAAAAGAATTAAATGACTTGGTAAGTGGTTAGAGAATCACTTGATCTGCCTTCTCACAGAGCTTGAATTTGAAACAGTGCAGTACTAGAAAGGTCAAAACAGAGCCAAGAAGTTCTACGTTTCAATCAAAAACAGATGGAGTGGGTGGGGGGACATTTTAGAAGGACAAAATCATTATATGTTTTGCATGATTTATCTATGGCACCTTTTTTTGAAAAGGATTCAGTAGCAGATGATGAGAAAGATCTGTACCTGAAATCGTGAAGAAATCGTCAGTTATTGAAATATGGAAATTGGCTAATGTCCTCAAATGAGAGTCTTACTAATTGTCCAGGAATTTAAACAACAGCTTTTCCCGGTCATATCTGGACATTATCAGGGATTGAACCTACAATATATATGGGTCTTCCCAGGCGCTTTTTGAAAAAAATAACTTGTTATCTAGGAACTTGTTGAGTTCCTAGATAAATTTCAGCAGTTATTTTTCCTGCATCTTAAGTCAGGTGATAATTATCCAGACACAAACAAATCTTAAAAGAATTGGGCAACTTTAGAAAGTGGTTGGATAATCTGAGTATCAGTACTTCTAATCTCATCTGTGTAACCAACACTACCAAGGTTCAATTGAGAAACATTGGCTGGATTTGCACATTGTATTAAGCCACAAGCTGTTTGAGGTTGACTTGGCAGTTTAGTTTATTGAATAACCTATGATTAAACAATCAGTGATTATATATGAATACAGTCAACTTGTTGCCCAGTAAAGCTATCTCATGAACTCTTGAATTTCTAGTGCTAAACTGATCACTGTGTACTTTCAAAAGGTAATTGTTAAAAATAATCACATCTACAAAAGCTTTTCAGAATTCAGAACTATAAATTTTTCTTTAATACTTTGTATATAGGTTTACTCGGGACACGGTGGCTCAGTGACTGACGCTGAGCTTGTCAATCAGTAAGGTCGGCAGTTCAGTGGTTCGAATCCCTAGTGCCACATAATGGAGTGAGCTCCCATTACTTGTCCCAGCTTCTGCCAACCTAGCAGTTCAAAAGGCTTGTAAAAATGCAAGTAGAAATATAGGGACCACTTTGGTGGGACGGTAACAGTGTTCCGTGCACCTTCGGCATTTAGTCATGCCAGCCACATGACCATAGAGGCATCTTTGGACAGTGCTGGCTCTTCGGCTTTGAAACGAGATGAACACTGCCCCTTAGAGTCAAGAACAACTAGCACATATGTGCAAGGGGAACCTTTACCTTTACTTTTTACCTTATATAGGTTTACATTATTTGCCATACCACCAAAAATTCAGTTAACGGTAAACAATATAACACATTTGTTTTAAGGCAGCCCTTATTTATCTAGCATGTGACTTTGGAAATCCCTACCTGATCCTTTGGATAATTTATAATTTTGTTTTGTGCGTGCACAAATGTAATTATGAGGAACGTCACAACACTAAATGCCTGAAATCTTGCTTCAGAACAAATGCTACAAAGAGGAAATCTTACAGCTGAACACCAGGACTGCTCAACTAAGCCATGAGTACATTGAATTAAGCAGCAAGAATAAAGCCAGTCAGAAAACAATCAAGATACTGAATCAGAGGTTTCTTGAATTGGAGAGCCAAAAAGAACAAGAGGCTATGGTAGCCAAGCAACTTCGGGAGGCCTCTGCTGAGATGAAAAAGGAGCTTTTTCAGCAGCAGTTGACATGGCAGGGCGAAAAGGACTTGCTGGATATAGAGCTGAAATCGATGAAGGAAAAGGTAAGGCTGATCCAGGAGAGAGGTCACTGCATTGTGTGACGCTTCATAATGTTGTACTTCAGTGATGGACAATCTGCGGCCTCACGGCTGTAGGCAAACATTCAGTCCTCCTTTTGCAGCTGTTTATCTGGTGATGATTTCTAAAAGCTGATTGCACAGATACTATTTTGTGGTGTAGGGCAGATGAAAACTAGTATAAGCTCTAAAACAGCCACATTACAATTGAGAAACACAGTTAAGTTCCCAAATTCCCATCCCTGTGTAATATGGCCCTACCTACTTTGCTCCAAGTGTTAAATGTAGTCTGTGGCATCAAACAACTGCTCTCCTCTGCTGCAGTGTTTCATGTAGGAAAACATGTGTCATGGTGACCAAGCCAAGGCAGCATTTAGATAACATATCTATTATGGGGATCATGAATTAAGACTCTTTTGCCTACTATTTTGACTTTTAACCTTGCTTTTTAACATGGGGTAGGATTATGATATATTAGTTGATTGAGGGACAGCATTTGCTGCCAAAGCTAAAATAAATAATAATACAGGCAGTCTCAATTTACAGCCATTCATTCAGCAACTGATTGAAGTTACAAAAGCAACAAATGAATGATCACAACCGGTCCTTGGATTCTGATTACAAGCCCCCTTGTAGTCATATGATTGTAATATAGGTGTTTGGGAAACCTGTTCACATGTATGACCGATTGCCAAGTGCCCCACAATCAAATGATAACCATTCCTAGAAGGTCACTGAGAAAATTGGCAGGGAAGATGGGAGATCACTGGTGGGGAGATCCCCACTGACACACACTACCCAGCCCCTCTGCATTCAGACTGCACTGGCCATTCATGCAACTTCATGCACCCTCCTTGACCTGTGCAGTACATCTCATGCACCTTCCTCAATCCATACAGCACCTCTTGTGCACCCCACATACCCTCCCTGATCTATGTGGCCGCTCTTGCGTATACCCTTGAATTCCTATGCACTCATCCTGACCTGTGCAGTGCCTCTCATGGATATCAACACACACACACCTTGATCTATGTGAAGCCTCTGGCATATCCTCACTAACATGTGCACATCATACCCTCCTTGACCTGAGTAGCAGCCTTGCACACACTTTGTGCCCAATGCAGAGGTTCTCTCACCTGCACAGCTACCTCCAACCATCATGCCTCCCACACATCATCTCTGACCTTCCCCCAAACACACACCGATCCCTTTGCCCTCCCCCAACAGCAGCCAGTTGCCTGCCTTGGTCCTTCCAACTTCCTCCTGGCTTTTCCACTTATCACGGAAAGTTGGCAGGAAGTTACCTTGCATAACAACTGTGGGATTCAGTTAACAATAGCAATTGGGATTGATAGGATTGCTGTTGCTAAGTAATGCCGTTGTACTTTACAACGGTATTACTTAGTGTTAGAAATTCCATTAACAATGCTCATTCTAAGTTGAGGACTATCTGTGCAATAAAAGAATACTGTAAATAACATTAGGCAATAAGCCTGATTAAAATACAAATCTTAGAATCCAAATTTGGGTGTAGCAATATTCCATGTATTGAACTGTAAACTAGAAATTGTTTCCAAATAAGAATAAATTATACATCAAATTTAATTTTAGATAGAAAGTTAATTTTAAAAATTAGCATTTATTTTACATATTGAGTGGAATTTACTGTTAGAAAGAATTTTGGCATGCAAGTATCTTGACTGATTGGTAGGTTTTTCTTCTGCAGTGTTAATGTTAATGTCTCTAATGTTAGTGTACTAGTCTATCTTTTTCTCTTGCAATGTAGCTGTTAGAAGCTGACACCAGATTAAGCCAAGCTGAGTCTCAGCACGCACAGGAGCTGCAACAATTGAAGACCCAGATGGACAATACAGTACCTAAGGACCATCTTGTTGAGCTTCAAACCAGATTGGCAGAGGAACAGAAAACCGTCAGAAAGTTGCAAGGCGATCTAAACTTACAAGCAGAACAAATGAAATGGCAACAGGCTATTTATCAAGTAAGAAGAACGTTTATTTTAGCCGTCCTTTAGGTTCCTACCAAGAATGCAGTTGCTGGTATGATGAATAAAAATAAGCTGCCTGACTTGTTTTACCATAGTTTGTTGAATAAGTCATAGTGGGCCTTTAAACACATCTCTGAGGCTTAAACCAAAAGTTACAACTACAGTGGCTACATTCATACAACACACTAAGCTAAAATTAAACCAGAAGCAATGTGTCCTAAAGGTACTTTTTTCAAGAGGGAACTGGACATTCTTGTTTTTCTTTTAAGACGTTTCACTTCTCACATAGATCAATATTTACATTTTGATTCTCACCACCCACTGAAGCACAAAATGGGAGTTATCTACACCACTGAGCTGAAGGCCTGCCTACTAGCAAAGATGGAAAAGAAAAAGAACGAAAACACATCAAGGAAGCCCTCACTATTCCAGTGAACCTTCAACTCCCCAAAAAGACCCAGCAGTAGCTCCTCTATAACAGGCAAAGAAGAGAGCAATAAACGAAGCAATATTGTTATTCCATACGTTGCAGGAATATTTGAAAAGCTTCAGCCAACACAACATATGTGTACACTTTAAACCCAAGCATACACTAAGGCAGAAGATTGTCCACCCCAAGGATAAAACACCCAGACACAAACTGAGCAATGTGATATATGCAGTACAGTATAGTGAGATATGTGCAGATCTGTACATTGGGGAGACAAAACCACTTCATAATCGCATGGCATAATATAGGAGAACAAACCCATCGGAACAAGATTCAGTAGTCTATCTTCATTTAAAAGATGCAGGGCACTCTTTTGAAGACAGCAAAGTCCACATTTTGTACAGAGAGGGCTGCTGGTTTGAAAGAGGGGTCAAAGAGGCCATCTTTGTCAAAATTGAATAGCCTCAAACAAGTGGGA